AAGCTTTAACGTTTCCCCCTTCTGCCTGAATTAGCAGCAACAGCCCAGGAACGAATGAGACAAGGGCCTAATTCAGTTCCAAGGACACCCTACCCTTCGCACTCCTTATTGCATCTACAGGGAGCACGAAGTAGATGTGTTTGTTGATGGGTGAGTGCAGTCCCGTGTAGCCTGACTTTCGGCATAAAAATCTGATATGCTTTGCAGCCTGTTCCGCCCCAAAACCACCTAGCCTACTTCAACTGAATCAAGAGTTAGAGTGTTGATATTACACTACTTTAAATCATATTAATGCTATTGTAGTCTATATCTGGGTCTCGTTACTTTGTCTTGTTGTAAATAAATCTGTTACTTAACAATTTCAGTTGATAATAATTAACAGTATTTTGTGATTCACTGGTGTTTTATGTTTATTTACAATTATGTTTATACATGATTAAGACCTTGATCTCTGCTATTTTGATTATGCAGTTTTTGACTGTTTTTGACTTTGCAGTTGAACAATAAAAATGTCTTTATATAAAGTTTCAATCAACCAATCAACCAACCAATTAACCAACCAACCAACCAACCAACCAACCAACCAACCAACCAACCAACCAACCAACCAACCAACCATCAATCAATCAATCAATCAATCAATCAATCAATCAATCAATCAATCAATCAATCAATCAATCAATCAATCAATCAATCAATCAATCAATCAATCAATCAATCAATCAATCAATCAATCAATCGTTATTGTAAAAGAAATATATAAACATTTGCAAAAAATATCGAGTACTTGCAGTACCATATTTTACTAGACAAATCCAGACACGTCAATATATATATATGTATACTAGGGGTGTCAAAATTTGTTGTTTCTTCGATGCAGATGCGAACAATTTAGTATCGGTTCAGTAATAATCATAACCGGTTATTATTTATTGACGTCATTTATCACATATGCGTTACTATGGCAAGGTAGGAGACCGCAAGTAACTAAAATGCTTAAACCTACTTAAAAAGCAGGTAACTGTGAACAATTTACTGCTTGTGAGTTTGTTGGACAGTCTTTCACTGACATCAGAACCCAGCTAGGAAAAAATGAAAACTGTAAACTCTTTTTTTTTTCACTACCTGTACCCCATTTGACAGCTAGCGTGTTCGCCAGGTAACATTTTATCTCCTCTCCCGTCTGATACAACAATAATGTTACTTGTGGATTCAGACATGAGTGTGTCTGCAGAGCGAGTTTTCTTCACCGTGTTGCCGAATAATGAATCAGCTGATCGCCATGGTCGTTTAACATCTGTGTCCATGTCACTCTTTGCTCAACAGCACCAGAGCCATGCCGACAATTAGAGCCAATCATAGTCTTTTCTGTTGAGCGTGTGATCAATCACAGGCATTTAAGAACTCGCTTAACAACACTCAAAAAGCAAGCGGAATAATATTTATATTTGTTTATTTGCTATTAATGCTCATGTTTATCTGTGCATGCACTTTAGTTTTGTTTGATATGTTCAAAAAGAGTGTTTTATTTGAGCTGGTAAAAAATAAAGGTACGGTACATATATGTGACTGCTTGCATTAATACAAAATTGTATTACAAAAAATAAATCAAAATAAACAAATCTATAAATTATACATTTTATTAAAAGAATTTTCGTGCTGTGATGTAAAATATAAAATTGTTTATGGAAAACATGGTCAATGCACCACGATGACTATTTTTTACATCAGATACAGAAAAAAAGTTTGAAGTATGGACATAGTTACTTTTGTGGCTAACTTTATATTGGGTTTGCCTTTTATCAGCTACCCATATTCGTAGTAACACTCCGGGGGTATTTTTCTTTTCAAAATCACATGCGTTTTTAAGAATAAAACCATTTGAATTTGTGCAAATTAGTCACTTTTCTTAATAATACATACAGTAGCTACATCTCCTTTTGAGAGCAGGCTGGCTAAACCTCATTGAGCAGATTTAGTAAGCAGGAAAGGGTGCTATGCTTCTTGCTAACATAATTCAATAGACTCTAAAAGATACAAATAATATTTCATATGCTTGACTGGAAATGATAAGAACAAACATGAATATCATCAGAATTCCTGCCCTGGAAATCCTGGTTCAGTTTGGCCAACCACAAACACCTTTTGTTCCTCAGATATCTGTTGTAACTTTTGGCAGTCTGTTGTATGCTTTTTGCCCTATCTGACCGATTAGTTCAGCCCAAAATATGGAGTCACAGGTCAGTTCAGTGGCACTGTTTACATTCTGCTCTCCAATATGGCCAATCAATGACCTGTCATGAAAAAACTATTGTATATCTTTGTCTGGATGTTGGTCTCGGCCTATGATCTTAGGTCAAACCCAATGTGCTTTGCTGCACAAAATCCAACAATCATTTCAACCACTAGCTGGTTGCTAACCAACATACCAGTTTTACTTCTTTATCAGGGAAGTAAACCCTTTATCAGCAGAATGAACTGCCCCATTGTAGAAAACGATAATAAATAATACATTGCCTACCTTATTTTGTGATAAGAAGCAACACTGGATCACAGAATGTTATATGAAATGCTCTACTGATGTTATTAAGTGAGTTTTGAGCAAAAAACATATATAAATTGTTGTGCAAATTTTTATGCTGAGCTAACATGCTACGATAGCTAGCCTCGCTAGTCATGATTATTGCATAATTCTCTTCAAAAGTAAAGACTTGTGGATTTCTTTATAAGAAGGCATATGTGATATAAACCCAGAGAAGATGAAGTGATAAATTATATCACATTAATGTGAGATTAATAGACAGATTATTAACAGATTAATCATCATCTGAATAATTTAAAAGCCATTCCACACTGAAAAAAAAAATTCAGAGATGATTCCTTGGATTTACTCACATTTTTTATAAAATTTTTTTTTTTTTTTTTTTAGTTAAGTGGCTCTAAACAATTTATTTGGGCTGAATTTAAACAAAAAATATGTAGAATTTTATAAAATTAATTTTTTTGTTTAAATTCAACACAATTAAATAGTTTGCAACAGTTTTGCAGACATCATTTTTCTTAGTGTAAACGCGGCATGATTTTTTACATGTTAGAAGCTAATTTGATAACTGGGAATCTGCCAAACGAAGTCGTAATTTCATCCTTAAATACATTCATTGTATCGACCTAATACTTTGTGAACATAATTTGCTGACAGATGGAATAATTAAGCCTGCCAAAGTGACTGAAACTTGTTGATTACAGTCAGCGCTAGCCACTTTGGTGTTCAATATGCATCAGTGAAGCGAGTAGGTGGTCTGAGAGAGTGCTGTCAGACTCTCAGACTACAGAGAGTTTGCTTGAACGATTTTTGTTTCTTTGGCAACCAGGAAAGGAATGGAATTAGTTATTACACAAACAGCAGGGTCCACGAGTCAATCAGAGTGAAAAGGTTGAAATGAAAAAGTTACATGAATTAGAATTTAGTGTTCATTTAGTTTTGTAAAGGCACGCGCTGTTCAATTTACATCAAAGGATTGATTTGTTTCCCAATATCTCAAAATGTTTAAAGTTGTGCTCATGCTTTTCTTACTTATAGTTTTTGTCTTGTTTCTAGTTCAAACATTTTTTTCGGCAAGTAAAAAAAACACTTGTTTTGTTTTCAAGTCAAGGGTGAGTGAATTTTCCTTAAAACAAGCAAAATAAACAACTAATGGGGTAGGCAAAAAAAAAAAAAAGATTCTTGCTTCTCAAGGTGAATGCGTACCTTGGCACTAAAGGTCAAACAACAACAAAAAAAAAAAGGTCAAGAATTTTGGTGTGACTCTGGAGTCAGATCTGAGTTTCAATAATCATGTCAAAGCAGTTAGTAAATCAGCATACCATCATCTCAAAAACATTGCAAGAATTAGATGCTTTATTTCTAGTAAAGACTTAAAGAAACTTGTTCATGCTTTCATCAACAGCAGGGTGGATTACTGTATCGGCCTTCTCACTGGCCTTCCAAAAAAGACAGTCAGACAATTGCAGCTCATCCAGAACGCTGCTGCCAAGATTCTGACCGGAACCAGGAAATCAGAGCACAACACACCTGTCCTCATGTCTTTACACTGGCTCCCAGTTACATTCAGAATATATTTAAAGTATTATTACTTGTCTATAAATCCCTAAATGGCCTAGGAACTCAATACATTACAGATATGCTCACTGAAAACAAACCTAACAGATCACTCAGATCTTTAGGATCTAATAAATTAGAAATTCCAAGAGTTCAGTCAAAGCAGGGTGAACCAGCTTTAAGCTACTACGCCCCTCACTGCTAGAATCAGCTTTCAGAAATGATCAGATGTGCTCCAACATTAGGCACATTCAAATCAAGACTGAAAACACATTTGTTTAGCTGTGCCTTTACTGAATGAGCACTGTGCTACGTCCGACAGATCCCACTATCATGTCTTTCTTTTTTTTTTTTTTTCTTTTATAACCCGTTTTACACATTTTAATCTGTTTTTATCTGTTTTTAATAATTCTAATTTAATAATTCTTTAATAATTATTAGAATTATTAATTCTAATTATTCTTTGTTTGTTTTTATTTTCTTATACTTGTCTTTTTTATTCTTGTTTAAAGCACTTTGAATTGCCACTGTGTATGAAATACAAAATAAACAAAAATAAATAAACAAAAATAAGTAAATAAATAATCTAAATATTGACGATGTAATATTGAGAAATCTCCTTTAAAGTTGTCTAAATTAAGTTCTTAGCAATACATATTATTAATCAAAAATTACATTTTGATTTATTTACAATAGAAAACTGAACACAACTTGCCATGGAACATGACATTTTCTTAAAAAATATTATGATTTTTTTGATTAATGTAACATTTTTAATTTTGACTCATGGATACAGTGTTATTCGGCTATTCCTACAAATATACTCATGCAGTTTGCAAGACTTTCAAGGTTTCGTGGTCATATATGTACAGTATATGAAAATAAGTGTAATTTCATGCACCTTGCCAAAACTCCCTTTTCCCAGAACCATGAGGAAGTTGAAATCGTGCAGCCCGATGTGGCCTTTACCCGTGTGCAGGACAGCAGGAGCTGGGCTCAAAGCCGGTGGGGTCACAGCGGGAACAGGCGTCGTCACAGGAGAAGGAGTAGGAGGAATTGAGGGCATCAGAATCTCCTCTGGTACCTTCACAAATAAGGACAGTGACAAAAGCAAGAGCTTGTTTCAGTAAAGACATACAGTGCCCTCCTGTGGATGTGCTGTGAAAGTGACAAATTGGTGACGGTCAGACTCAGATGACATCATCAAAATGTGTCTGTTTGTGACTGCATGTTGTCGGAAAGAACATTTGATTTTTGCTGAATGTGTTTATTCGCTGACCTCGGGAGGCTTTTATTGCACTCTCGGAGCTGAATATAGCATGCTGACAGTTTTATCTAGAGTGACTTACAGAACACCAATTACGGGGATAATCTCCCCTGGAGCAAACTGAAGTAAAGAGCTTTGCTCAAGGGCACAATGCTGATGCTTTATGGGTAGTCACTTGAAGATGTCGGGAAACAACTTTTCATCTGCTATCACCAACTTTAGTGCATAAAGGTGCTGTCTGCAACATCTAGCACTTATAGTGCTGTAGGAAATGAAGGGTGTTGGTGCAGTATGCTGAAAAATGGATTGATGTCAGAGGTGTAAAGAGTACCTGAAAGCTACTTGAGTAAAAGTATGACTTACAAAGCTACAAGTCACCAATCGCACACATGCAAAACAATAAATGAAGACACCACCACCAGTCTGCACATTTTGAACTGTAGGCCTTCATCATAAAACATACCTGACTCAGATCAGCTTTTTAGTAAAGAGCTCTATGAACTGAAACATGTATTTCAGATAAGAGAGACATACTGTACAAAATGTGCAAAGTGGTGTGTCCTTAGGACAGACTTAAGCTGGGAATCATTTCTACCATTCCTTTAGTTCATTTCATCATTCATTACACATGAAGTCAAGTAAAAAGTATCTATACTTCTTTAAAAAATGTGTAAAGTACACTGTAAAAAATATATTTTGATTAACAGATTCTTTATTTGGTTTTTCACAAGTGTTTTTGTTTATTTTAGTTTGTGAATTGCATTTTGGTACCTTAATCGCTGCTCTGTCGACTTTTGAATTTGAAAATCAACTCTAGAGTTAAACAAAGTGGCTTTTATTTACACTTTAGTTGTTTGAAATAATATAATGTGTAATAAATAATATATAGAGAAATACATCTTTAAAATAACAGAAAATGTACTGGAAGTTTTTTTTTTAACATAATTTACAACACCAACTCAGACAATATATCACTTTCAAATATTAAAAATGTCAATAAAAGTGACTTTTTTAATTTCGAGAGTTAAAAGCTGTTGAAAGATAACCTCACTATAAAGCAATTCAAAAGCATAAATAAACAAGAAAATAAAAATGAATCACAAAATGAGGAAAACAGCTAATTTACCAATATTTTTTTGCAATGTGCAGAGCAAACATTGCTATTATATTTGATACAAAGTAATTACAAAGTACAAAATAATTAACTTAGTACTTTTGCTCCAAATAAATAAATAAATAAATAAATAAATAAATAAATAAATAAATAAATAAATAAGTGAATGAATAAAAACATAAATGTATAAATGAAAGAATCAAACAAGCTAATAAATAAATAAATGAAATAAACAGGCTCATAAATAAATAAATAAATAAATAAATAAATAAATAAATAAATAAATAAATAAATAAAATTAATAAAACAAATAAAATAAACGAAACAAAAAAGCGGATGAATAAATAAATGAAACAAACAGGCAAATAAAAAAATAATAAATAAATACATAAATAAATAAATAAATAAATAAATAAATAAATAAATGAGTGAATAAATAAATAAATAAATAAATAAATAAATGAGTGAATAAATAAATAAATAAATAAATAAAACAAACAAGCTAAGCTAATAAATAAACAAATAAAATAAACAAGCTAAGTAATAAATAAATAAATAATAAAAAATAAATAAACTAATTATTTAATTAATTAAACAAACAATCTAATAAATTAAACAAACGGGCTCATAAATAAAAAATTAAACAAATAAAATAAACAAACTAACAAATAAATAAATAAAAGAATAAATAAATAAATAAATAAATAAATAAATAAATAAATAAATAAACTAGCCAATAAATAAATAAATAAATTTAGATAGATAGATAGATAGATAGATAGATAGATAGATAGATAGATAGATAGATAGATAGATAGATAGATAGATAGATAGATAGATAGATAGATAGATAGATAGATAGATAGATAGATAGATAGATAGATAGATAGATAGATAGATAGATAGATAGATAGATAGATAGATAGATAGATAGATAGATAGATAGATAGATAGATAGATAGATAGATAGATAGATAGATAGATAGATAGATAGGTGTGAGTAAATGATGTGAGTACCTGCAGGTCTGGATCAGGCACAGGGATGTTATAATATTCTCCCTCATCCTGGTTGAGCAGTTTGAACCAGCCGCTGACAGACCGTCTGAATATCTCACTCACCCCGAATGACAGAGCGCCCATGAAGTCATTGCGTGAGGTTCTGTCCCAGTCCCAAACCTCTACAGACAAACGCCTGTCCCACTGTCTGCCCCGCACTGAACTACACACACACACACATAAATAAATAAACACAGAATAACTTCACATATGATTACAGGCTGCTTAGCAACACAGCATAGCAAAACCCTGTCAACCATTTACAAATAAAAACTCACAAAGTAAAGCTCTCGTTCCAGATGGGGTTGAGTGTGGAACGGATGGTTTTAGTTTTCTGTTTGCTGTGGCTCTTTGGATCAGGGATGAGTTTGAGCTTCACATAAGGGTCCGACAGGCCGTTGGGGTCCATGGGTATGAGGTTAAGCGCTTCATGAACTGAAATATAGATTTGATAGTGAGTTTATACTAGGGCAATCAATCAATTAAAATCGTTAAACTGCGTACTTACAGTGCTCTGCATTTATAAGTACACCGCTCACAAATCTATTTAATTTATATTTTTATGAGGAAGCTAAACAATATTACATTTGTGCAGATACAATACATTATATTAGTCAGTACTAAAGTAAAATCACATAATAGCTTACGATAATGGTCCAAAAACTAGTACATCCAAATTTATATGTCATAGAAAAATATTAAATAAAAAAAAATAAAAATCAAAAGAAGCAAAAACATAACTAAATAAAATAATAAATTTATTTGAAAATTTGTAGATTGTAATTCTATTTGCAACATGTTTGGTGACTAAAATATTATTTTTATAAAATAAAAATCAAATGCACCAAAATACATTGCCTATATTCACTGAGAAATGGATAAAATTATTCATCTTCAAAATGGGCTGTACTCAATTATGAATTTTCAACCTCAAAAGTTAACAGAGCAGAGATCAAGGTCTCATAATGTAATTCACGACTGTAAATAAATGGAAAACACTTGTACACCACAAAATATGGAAACTGTTGATTAACACTTTTCCCCCATAACAAAACTGATTAAATTAATGTGTTATTCACATCTATGTCCCGATCGGTTTTTTTTTGCCTTCGAATCTGAATAAGAGTCATTTGATTTTGAGTATACCCATACAAAAAACCTGATCCGATACTTCTATAATACATAAAAAAGAATAAAGAAGAGTGAAGAAACAGATGCAGGATTCAATCGATTGTGCGGTAAGTCTTTGTAGAGACATGGGTGCTACGAATGAACTCCAAATGTCTGTGGTGAAGAAACATGCGGTACATCTTATAACAGCACAAGTAGTTTGCCAGAAATCTTCTTATAAAAAGCTGGCAGAGCTTTCTCTGTGAAATTGTAGCAAGACGGCATTTCAAATCAAGGTTCTACGTTTTTTTTTTTAGGTGTCTTATCAGGTTTGTTGAGTTAAATGTAGCCCTTTCCTTTCCACCTCTTGCAATGCCAAGTTTACATATCTTACAATAGTGGCAATGACAATTCTGTCGTCTTTAACTTTTTAATACCTCTAGACCGCAGACTCGTACTTTCCGCTTCAGGTTGTTTTCGTGTTACACTTTACCGGCATTTAACATTTTGGACATTTTGGACATCCCTAGTTTAAAAAATAACTGCTTTTTCCTCACCATCTTATGAAATAAAACAGTTTTAATGCATATCTGTAGTTCCATATGTGATTATACAGTGAATACAATGTTGCGCTGCATTATTAAACTGACCCGTCAGTGCATGTTTAAAAGCTCTTCTCTGTACAGCATTAGTAGTCTTCTCACTACTCATTAGCTTCTTTATGGTGGTGCAGATCTAAGAGCCACAGGCTTAGTTAAGTTGACACAGCGCAGCGAATGCATTGTAATACAGCAGACTGAGTGTGTATAATTAGCTCTTTCTCATGTACTGATGATGCTGTATGCACACATTTCCCTCTGCTGGAGGAAAGTCGAGCTGTGCCAAATAACACAATCACCAGTATGATTCCTTCACCAGCAAACTCACTCAGCAGTAAGGAAAAAAGTCTTCGATGAGGCATTAAGAGGCTCTATAATAAACATTACTTACTTTCTATGAATAGGTCATTAAACACGCCTGTTTTTTTAGACTGATATATTCACCGTGTTTTGCAATGCAAAAGTAAGCTTTTTTACACAATTGTGACAGCTGATTCCTTTGCCTTTTGGTAAATAAATGACAAATGGCAGTAAAACTACTTGATCACACCAGTGTGTTTGTGAGTAATTGACTATACATTTAAATGAGATCATTCCATGGTATGTTGAAATTCTTGATTCTGAACGTGTGCAATAAAATCGTTGAATGTGCAGGTAGTTTCAGTTAGTTTTGATCGCTGTTCATAACAAATGCACTTCCCTCAAACATTAGTAGCAACTCAGTGACAGTAGATGGAGCCTTCATTTATCTGTGTGATCTCAAGGACCTCGACATGTGCAACAAGGAAGCCATTGGGGATTAAGTAACTCATAATTATGCTCCAAAACATTTGCAAAGAGGTAGCTAAACGTTATATGAGCTATTTGATCTACCCATGTAATTAACATTTTTACCCTTTAATTACAGTGAAAACTATGTTGGGTTCCACACAGTTCCTCCATGTCGCCCCAACACAAATAGATTACGTAATATTTTTTTGTGGATTAAACGTAACTATTAAAAAAAAAAATTAAAATTGAGAATTGTGTTGTTTTCAACTTATTTTCAAGAAGTTGATTGAACCAGCATCAAAATACATATCAAAGTTATGATCAATTGTTATGATCACCAGCGATCCAGTGGTTGCAGATCATTAGAGAACTAAAATTCTGCCACTGAACCAAACTACAACCCCCAGAATCCCAGTTCCAATCACTTCTTCTACAGCTGACAGCAATCTGGACACTGACACACACACACACACACAGCTTACAAGTCCTTAATTGAATGATTACCTTGACTATAAAGACACCTCTCATTTTCACACACATTGCTGAGTCTTGTTTACCTGTAACATTACTAAGCGTTATCCTTGGTTAATCTTGTCGTACCTTTTGATTTTTGCCTTTTTTCTTATTTGTGCTGTTTGCCACTTGCACCGACCTCTGCCTGTGACCACGACTACTCTTTTTACCCTAATGATACCATTTGTTCCTATTTGACCATTGTCTGACTGAGATGCAAATAAACAGCGCTTAGACCCTCAACTCTGTTGTACCTCCACTCATTTGTTACAATAATATTTATTATAGAATATTAAGATTAAGGGCTCTATTTTGACGGTCCATGCACAGAGCGCAGGGCGCAAACGCTTTCAGGGCGTGTCAGGACGCGTTTTTTCTAATTTAAGGACGGGAAATCTGCCTTGCGCCGCAGCACATGGTCTAAAAGGGTTGAGTTTATTTTCATAATGAGTTATAGGTGTGTTTTTATTAGAGTCTCATCTCCCGTTCCCTTTAAGACCCAGCTGCGTCATGCCAAGAGCACATTCACTATTTACAGGACGCAAAGTAAGTCTAAGTGGAAAAAATTAGCATTTCACAAGCGAACAGTAAACAGTTTTTTTTTAACAACAAACAGAGCATGTACTGAATGAGAATGAGAGATAATGGATCACTTTCACTTTCGCTCTTGGATAGGGAAACCTTTATGCACAGACATCAATTAGTCTATAATAAATACTTTTGTTTGTTAAGCGCAAATATTCGTTTCAAAACTATTTCTAAATTCAGTTATAATTTCCAGCAAACGAATAAATGAATAATAATAACAAAATGTGCTCAAAAACCTGAGTTATATCCTAAAACACATGCTGTGCCCCATCATGGTCTAAAACCTGACAGGTGGGCAAATCTAAGCTTGTTTTTAATAAAACAAATATAAATATGGATATAATAAATAATACTTCTAATAATAATAACATTATACAAAAGCAAATTGTTATGAATGAACTGAAAAAGCCTCCTGAGATGAAGAAGACATAAAATCAGTGATTTTTCAAATTTATGTAGGCTAGAAAATAATATGTTTTGTAATATTTTAATCCTTTATATTTAAATTCTATATCTATTCTTGTTATATCCTATATATCCTTAATATTTACATTTTTTCATATGTAAAGATATTTGCCTATTGCTCTCTTGTGCGTATTAAGCAGTGTGTAAGCGAGGCGCAACTCTGCGCCAGAGTTTAGACCGGGTTAGTTTTGGTCTAATGAAAAATCTATTATAGTTTCTCAAAATAACAACGCGCCAGCAGTGCGCATCAGAACACCTTCCTTTTTAGACCAGAATGCCTATGGACGCACAAATAAGCGCTAATGCATTTGCTATTTAAACAGCGTAGCGCAACGCCTCAAAACGACTCTTGCGCCAAGCTGAAACTACCAAAAGACTATTGCGCCGCGTTTACCTTATAATTATAAAGTGAGTTTGCTCTCCTTTTTGAGTAAACTAACTACTTTTTACAGTGTACTAATAAGCATTTGTTGGCTAAGTAAATTATTAATTAACAAGTTTAAAATGCATTATGTCAAAATCAGCATATTGTCAAAATCTGACATTTGTAACACTCAGTCAAAAGGTTTAACCCCTCTTATGTATGTAGGAAAAATAATACAAACCACATTAGCAAACATGTGCAATATGCATAATATGTTCTGCATTCATGATTGTGTTATTTCAGAAAGTCTAATGGTGTTCATGAGTTTTGAAGTTCATGAGTGACTGAGTGTTCACCTGTAATATAAATGTCCTCCTTTTCTCCACGGACGGTCAGTCGGATCCGTCCTCTTTTTTCGGTATGGTCTTGTCCACAGAGACTGGGTACACTGCTCTCACAGCGCTTGTGGACATTCATATCACAACCTCAACCACAAACACACAATATACAACAAATGAAAAGACAGACAGAGGGAAAGAGACTCAGAGAGGAACAAGTTAAAAATTAATACATTGTCCTCCACAAATATTGGCACCCTTGGTAAATGCAAACAAAGACTTTTTTTTTTTTGCTAAAAATATACAGTTAAAGTCAGAATCATTAGCCTACCTTTGTTTTTTTTTCTTTTATAAATATTTCCCAATCATTGAGGGCGTGTCTGAATCCACTTTAGCTATGTTAAGGATGGAAAAATACGCTTTGCGCTGCAGCACATGATCTAACTGGGTTGTGCTCATTGTCCTTATGAGTTATGGGTGTTTTTTGAGAATAAACCAATCAGAGTCTCATCTCACATTCCCTTTAAGAGTCAGTTGCGTCCTGCTGTGGCACATTTGCTATTTACATAGCAGACTTTGTAAGTGGAAAAATTGAATTCTTCACTAGCCAGTAAACAGTTCAACAGCATCTGCAGTGCGAGAGCAAAGAATGAGCCTCCTCCAATCGGCCTTTAGTTTAAATTTTCGTGGACAAGGAAACAATGTTTTGCACTTCACTGGAGACATCAATTAGTCTACATAAGTAATTTAGTTTCCAAAGCGCAAAGATTTGTTTCAAAACTATTCTAAATTCAGTTCTAATTTCCAGCAAACAAATAAATGAACAATAATAACGAAGTGTGGTCAAAAAACTGAGTTTTATCGAAATAAACATACTGTGCCCCATATAGTCCAAAATCTGACAGGTGGACAAATCTAAACTTTTTTTTTAATAAGACAAATATAAATATGCATATAATAAATACTACTACAACTATTAATAACATTATACAAAAGCAGGTTGTCGTGAATAAACTGAAAAAGACCCCCGAGATGAAGGCATGGAGGCAGTTTTTTGGCAGTTGGATTTTATAATTATGTAGAAAGTAAACATTTTTGTAACAATTAACCCTTTATTTTTTCATTTGTAAAGATATTTGCTTATTGCAGTACATTCTGTGTGTTTTAAGCAATGTGTAAGCAAGGCGCAAAACTAATGTGCTCTGTGCTGGACTTTAGACCTGCTTTCAGCTGGTCTATTGCACTGTCTATTTTAGTTCTTCAAAATTGCAAAGCGACAAAACTGCGCCTTAACAAACTTCTTTTCTAGACCGGAACACCCATGAATCCACAAAATTGCGTAAATGAATTTGCTAGTTAAACAAAGTGGCAGAATACAAAAAAATTAAGGTTGCACTGGTCTGAAAATAGCAACACGTTCGGTAAACACATGTTGCGCCTTATTAAGCCGGGTGTATGATACCGCTATAGACTACTAAAATTCTATAACTAGAATGACCATAGAAATCTTCCTGACTGTTCATACTAGACTGATTTTTTTTTTTTTTGCATGAACTAATAATAAACAATTCTTGTACAGCTTTTTAAATTCATCGTTTAACATTTACCAATGCACTATTAAAATCTAAATTCATGTTTGACATTAGTTTATTTTGTTAACTAACCTTAACATACAATGTAATAGACATACAATAAACATAATAAACATACAATATACATTAACTAACATTAACTACAACCTTGTTGTTACCCATTTTTGTCAGGTCACATTTACATTTGAAGCTTCTGTTGAGGTTCAAGAGTGACGCATGTCTGTAACATTTCATGATCTTTTTATGTAATTTTTTATTGTGAAGATGAGCAAACGGGAGCTATGTTGTTTTTTTTTTTCATTCCAGTGAAACATTTGTTTCTGTCTATCTAAATGACAACAAATGTCAATCTAAATGACAAAAATAAACAAATAAATAAATAATAATATTAATAACATTACTTTTGGCCACCACTGGAATCTAAATCAATGCATAAATGGATATGCTATCTTAGGATATATAATGCTAAAATCAGGACAAACAATAGGGACCCATAAAGAGAATCTATAATGCAAAAATCACTTCTATAAGTGGTTTAAACACAGTTGTATGGCAACAGTGTGTAAATATAATCAGTTCCCCTTCGGTTGGGGAACTTCAGTGCCATAGAGTGGATTGATTGAAATCCACGAAATGGGAGGATTCGGTTCAGAAGCCACTTGTCTGAAAGAGTATTGAACGGGCCAATGAATGCAATGAATTGGCAGCGTAAGCTTGCACAGGTGTACTTCATGGCCAATTATCCCAGCATATAAGCACACCTGGAGCGAGCAGACGCCATCCTTTTCGCTTCAGAGACTTTCTGATCGAGTCGATGAGGGTTCCTCCTGCTGTGACCAGCGATTCTGAGCGAACGAGAGCATTCTCCTGGTCCAGAGTGTGTACACGCAGCGGCAGACGGTCGAGCTGGGTTTCTCCCTTGCCTGGCGTTCTTTGGGTCCGGTCCTCCAGAGCGGTGCGTATAAAGTTGCAAACTTCACAGAAAGAGCAACACAGTCGTGCAGCACGTCCTTTTCAGGACGGCGCTCCGACTGTGCGTTTCTGGATGCGGTGGTTTCCTGTCCTCGGATGATGGGCACGAGCACTGCGTTGCATGTCTGGGGGGTCCAGCATGTTAATGCGCTGCTCGCAGGCAGTTCATGTCGTCATTGCGATGCCATGACTGTTGCGCAGTAAAGATCGCGGCTAGCCTTTGCAAAAGGGCGAACCACCCCAGTTGTCCCCTGCTCTGCAGCGGGCACTCGGGCAGATCTGAGGGTTTCAGCGAGAGATAATCCGTCGCCCACGGGCCCGCGGACCTCCCGCTCCTCTAAGCGCTCCATCCAAGCTTCGGGCGGGGGAAGCGATCCGTCTAACAGATGGTAGCCCTTACGCCCGATGACACCAGAGACCAGACGTCCACCGCGGCATCGGAGGGTGGGCTTTCATTGTCCGATGATGATCCAGACCCGCTCGCCCCCTTCGGGCTGGTGAGCGTTGTCACTACGGATCCTGAAACGGACATGTGAGCCATGCTTTCCCGGGCTGCTTCGGCCGTGGGTTGGAGATGGTTTATCCCCCAACTCCGCGGCCGGACCGACTAGAGGGGCGTTCCCTTCTTCCCGGAGGTGCACAGTAGGCTCTCTTGTAAAGCACTTTTTTCTGCTCGTGCTGCGTGTCCCTCCACCCTAACCACTCTTGACGATGGAACAGCCAGGGGGTATGTGGCGATTCCTCAGGTTGAGTGCGCGATGGCGGTAAATCCGCGCGGCGCCTCTTCTTGGCGGGGTCCGCCTCGTCTCCCATCCAAAGCCTGTAAGTTATCTACCTCCCTCGGAGCTAGAGCTTACATAGCTGCGGGCCAGGCTGCTTCCGCCTTGCATGCGATAGCCACCTACCAGCGCTACCTAGCGCAGGCGCTGGCCGAGCTGCACGAGGGTGGGTCCAACCCAGGCTTACGAGCTTCGCACCGCCGCCGACTTAGCACTTCGGACTACTGAGTCCGCTGCGTGTGCGTTGGGGAGGACGATGTCCACATTAGTGATCCAGGAGCGCCACCCCTGGCTGATATGCGCGAAGTCAACAAAGTCCGCTTTCTTGACTTTCCCCATATCCCAAGCCATGTTCGGCGACACCGTCTGTGAATTCACCCAGGAGTTCAAGGCGGTGAGAGAGCAGTTGATGGGTGATGTCTTATCGGCGGTCCGTAGCCCGCTCCGCCCGCCGTGCCATTCATACCTGCTCCTCGCCGAAGGCGCCCGCCTACGAGAGCTGCTCCGCCCCCGCACACGCCTCTGGCGAAGCGAGCGCGTCGGGCACCTCGGAAGCAGGCAGCCCCCCTGCCCAGAACGCCGCTAAGTCTGGCAACGGACCGCGAAGCGTCCCTAGGACAGGCCATCCGGAGGAGAGGGAACTTACTCTTTCCCCGCTGGAGGGCGGGGCTCCATTTCACAACGGCACTTTTTACTGCCATGAAAACATTATGAAAGGGCACTTTCCACTTCCCCGGATGTGACAGCCCGAAATCTGCCAGTCTGGGACGCTTTGCTTTCTAGCTTGCAGATTCGGTGCGTTTCGCCAGTGGCTCACGAGCGCTGGGAGGACGGTCTCCTTTCTCCCACCCCTCGAGCCTCCCCTCCGGAGCTCGGGTTCGGAGTGAGAGCAAATATCTCACCTCCAGCTTTTCTGTGGGACCCGCGAGCTTCCCGGATCAGCACACCCAATCCGCGCTGCCCCACTGCTGGTACGTCAGCGATGAGTCCATTAGCGGGAGCTCTGCCTGCCTGGTTAGCACGGGCCAGCTCTTCGCGGTGGCTCATACGCACAATCAGACTCGGCTATGCGATTCAGTTCGCGAAACGGCTCCCCATGTCGCGGGTGTGTATTCACCAGGGTCAGCCCCCTGTCCGCCCTTGTCTTGCGAGAGGAGATTGCTGTCCTCCTGGCGAAGGATGCAATCGAGCCGCTCCCTCCAGCCGAGATGGAGAGCGGGTTTTACAGCCCACACTTCATCGTGCCCAAAAAGAGTGGTGGGTCACGGCCAATCCTAGATCTGCGCGTTTTGAACCGCTGCCTGCACAAGCTGCCGTTCAGAATGCTCACGCAGAAGCGCATCCTCCGGTGCGTTCGTCCTCTGGGTTGGTCTGTAGCATTAGACCTGATGGACGCGTATTTCCATGTCTCCACTCTTCCTCGCCACCGTCAGTTTCTGCGGTTTGCGTTTGAAGGTCGAGCTTGGCAATACAAAGCCCTCCCCTTCGGGCTCTCTCTGTCTCCGCGGGTCCTCACCAAGCCCGCGGAGGGTGCCTCAGCGCCCCTTCGGCTCGCGGGCATCTGCATACTCGATTTCTTTACGACTGGCTGATTTTGCCCTCTCTCGGAGCAATTGATTATGCACAGAGACAAAGTGCTCTGGCACTTCCACCTGTGGGGGTTTCAGGTCAACCGAGAAAAGAGCAAACTCGCCCCCGTGCAGAGGATCTCTTCTCTCGGGCTGGAGCTGGACTCGGTCACCATGGCAGCGCGCCTCTCCGGAGAGCGCGCTCAGCTGATGCTGTACTGTCTGAGAGAGCTCGACAGTAAAATAGTGGTCCCACTGAAACTATTTCAGAGGCTCGTGGGGCATATGGCATCCGCAGCCGCTCGGATTTTTCTATATGAGACCACTTCAGCACTGGCTTCACGATCGAGTCCCCAGACGCGCATAGCACGCGCGCGCACACCGAGTCTCTGTTACTGCGCTGTGTCGCCGCGCCCTCAGCCCTTGGAGCGACCCCTCGTTCCTACAGGCCTGGGTGTCTCTAGAACAGGCGTCCAGTCTTGTTGTTGTTTCAGCAGACGCTTCCAACACGGGCTGGGGGGCTGTGCATTGCGGGCATGCGGCTGCGAACCTGTGGAAAGGTACCCAGTTGCATTGGCATATCGCCTGGAGCTGTTGGCAGTGTTCCTCGCTCTCCACCGTTTTTTTCCGGTGCTGGAGCGGCAACACGTGCTGGTCAGGACGGACAGTACGGCGGCGGTGGTGTACAGTGGCAGTTACTGTGCAAGGTCAGGGAGGACGAGGAACAGGTTGCTGGTTGCGCCCCTCTGGCTCAACCGGACCTGGATGTCAGAGCTCTCCCTGGCAGTCCCTTCGAGAGAGCACCTACTCTCTCAGGGACAGGGCACCACCTGGCACCCTCGCCGATCTTGTAGGTCATTAGACGCGAGGAAGACTTAGGTAACCTCCGATTGCGGTGGCTAATACCGTCACTCGGGCTAGAGCCCCCTCCCCGAGCGCGCCTATGCCCTGAAGTGGAGTCTATTCACTGAATGGTGTGTCTCTCGCTGAGAAGACCCCCGTAATTTGCCAGATCAGCGTTGTGCTTTCTTTACGCCGAGAGAAGCTGGAGAGCAGGCTGTCGCCCTCCACACTCAAGGTTACGTGGCTGCCATCTCCGCTCTCATAACGCGGTGGCTGGCGGCACCGTGGGAACGCATAACCTCATCATCCGGTTCCTCAGAGGCGCTAAGCGAATTAATCCAACTCGCCCCCCTCTCATGCCCTCTTAGGATCTCGCCCTCGCAACACAAGCCGCATCAGATCCCTTCGATCCTCGACTCAGTATCTTTCTGTCCCTGAAGACAGCTCTGCTGGTCGCGTTGATATTGATTAGAGGGTCGGGGACCCGGAGGCATTTTTCGGTCAGTGACTCGTGCCTGTAACTGGGCTGGCTTTCTCTCACGTCCTGAGACCCCGCCCGCGATATGTGCCCAAGGTTCCTACCACTCCGTTTTAATACGAGGTAGTGAGCCTGCAAGCGCTGCCCTCGGAGGAGGCAGACCCAGCCCTTCTTTATTGTCCAGTTCGCGTTTGCGTATTATCCGGACCGCACTCAGAGTTTACATCATCTGAGCAGCTCTTCGTCTGTTATAGCGGTCGGCAGCAGGGAAGTGCCGTACCGAAATAAGTTCCCACTAGATTGTGGATGCCTTTCTTTCACTATCAGAGCCGAGATGAGCCGCGTCCCTCGAGAGCGCGTGCGCACTCCACTCGGAGCTTCGCATCCTCTCGAGCGCGTGCACACGGCGCCCCTCTAACAGACATCTGTAGAGCTGCGGGCTGGGTGACACCCAACACATTTGCAAGGTTTTACAATCTGCGAGTGGAGCCGGTTTCCTCAAGGGTATTAGGTAACCCTTGGTGATTGAGGAAACAATTCGGTAGGGTGTTGAAACACGCTTGCTGCGCCATTCTCCCTAACACGGAGGTACGTGAGCCTTTTTATCTGTCAGTAAAGTTCCCCGTCAGGTGAGCCCTGCAGATTCCTCCGAGGCCCCAGCACTGACTCAGTGGAGGAGTCACTTGCTGGCCCACTACGTTGTAGGTCTGCCCGCTGGTCAGCCCGCGTTTTGGGTAAAGGTGCCTGCTATGCGTGATCCCCACTAGGCGATCCCATATGCTTATTCCGCCACGGTTAAGTCCCCCCCCCCCAGGGCGGACCCGTGTCTTCCCTCCCCGCTAACACTCTTTTACTATGCGTACTCCCCCTTTTTAGGGCTAGTCCATATGTAATTCTGCCATCTATCCCCCCTTGAGTAACGGATGGCCTAATTATAATTATTAGGCCTAATCCTAGAATTATCTAGATGCTCACGACTTCCCAAAAATATATCTAAATCCGTAAAACTTCTGTTGAAGTAGGATAAATTAGGGCCAGGGACACGTTGGAGGACCGAGCCTCCCATGATGTGGGTGCGTCACGCTTGCTTGACTATCCCCTCATCGGGGGCGTTGGTAAGGTGCAGTCATTATGGCGCTTTCCATACTTCTCACATTTCGTGGATTTCAATCAATCCACTCTATGGCACTGAAGTTCCCCAACCGAAGGGGAACGTTCGAGGTTACAGAAGTAACCCTTCGTTCCCCGAGGAGGGGAACGGAAGTGCCATACTCCGTCGCCATAATGACTGTCCCTTAGCTGTTTGAAAGTCTCTTCAGCTTAAAAGGATGGCGTCTGCTCGCTCCAGGTGTGCTTATATGCTGGGATAATTGGCAATGAAGTACACCTGTGCAAGCTTACTCTGCCAATTCATTGCATTCATTGGCCCGTTCAATACTCTTTCAGACAAGTGGCTTCTGAACCGAATCCTCCCATTTCGTGGATTTCAATCAATCCACTCTATGGCACTTCCGTTCCCCTCCTCTGGGAACGAAGGGTTACTTCTGTAACCTCGAACGTTTCTAGTGGTAAAATTGTAATAATAACATTTTTATAATCATACTGCACAAAACACACTACTGTCTGTAGAACCATTTTGATGTACATTCTCTCTTTGTATACGAGACATCAGAGGAATAAAAACTCTCTGATTAATGACTATCTCCCCCTAATTGTCATAGGGAGTTAGTCTTGTTTTTCAATTGCCACTATGCTGACACAGAGGCTTTTGTGGCTCCGCCCTCTTTTGAAAAAGAGCACAATCTCATTTGGATTTAAAGTGACAGTCAACCAAAAAGGCACAATTAGGATCAAAGTCTAAGAGGCGCTTTTAAAGAGTTATAAAACATTACTTGGATAACATTACTGAAACTTCACAAACACACTGTAGGGACATCAGAGACTTATTTTACATCTTGTTAAAATGGGGAAAAATAGGTCCTCTTTTAAGTTATAAGGGTTTTGTTTCAACAAAGCTGTTCCATTACAAAATAAAAAAGGTCAAAATGACCAGCCTGGTAGTTCTATTGTTTTAGATAAGACTATGCTGTTTTTGCCATAGTTTTTTTCTCAATGACAGTGGAGATCAAACAAGATCAAAAGATTAAACAACAAAGACATTATTTTATAGCGTTCTTTACTCATTTGTTTTAAGGGTGCCAATATTAGTTGAGGGCACTGTATACCAGTCTCCTGTCAGTGCAAAAACAATAAATATGAAGAACAGTCTGCCAGATAAAGCCTCCAGATCTAATGTAAACAGTGTAATTGTTAGCAGCTCTGCAGTACAAGACAACATGCTGAAACAGCAAGAGCTGTCAGCCGCCACAGTCTGCTTTATTATTTTCTGGAAGTGTATCATATCATGCAAATTATATTAGATGACATGGTTGTTATTACATGGATTAAAGTTAAAGGGAATTAATTAAATCTAATATACACTATGAGATATCTATTACAAGCCTGGAAAACATAATTCTTTAGTCACATATAATTACACTGATATAAATATAAAAACAGGAATCTGCATGATTGTATCATGCTAATTTGGACCTACTGTAAGACTATATAAAGTTCAAGATGAAAACCATTAAAGATTATATATAATAATGACATAATGACAGTCATTCATATTTTCTTATAAATATTATATTTATGTATTTTTTATAAATATAATAAATATTATATAATTTTATATTTTTAATATTGAGATGCATTAACACATATAATATAATATAATATAATATAATATAATACAATACAATATAATATAATATAATATAATATAATATAATATAATATAATATAATATAATATAATATAATACAATATAATATAATATAATATAATACAATATAATATAATATAATATAATATAATATAATATAATATAATATAATACAATATAATATAACATAAAATAAAACTACATTATATTATATAATAATTTATAAATGATATGATTTTTTCCTTTTAAATGTGTGACATTTTGTGGATAAATTTATGGACTTTATGTGTGTCAACAATAAAGTTTAATTAGGTATATTATATTATATTATATTATATTATATTATATTATATTATATTATATTATATTATATTATAAGTAACCCACAGCAAGTTCAATTCACTAGTCAATTTCTATTCAGTTTCAAGGCCGCCACACACGGAGTTGCTGGTCTAGATAAGCTTGATTTAGATATAAATAGACTCACAGCCACATTTCATGCCCTGATGTATGAGGCCATAGAGCAGTGAACCGCAGTGATCACAGAACGTGGGACTGGAGTACGTGTGCACTTTAAACTTGTGTTTGCTCTTCAGATCCTGCAGAGTAAAAAACAAAACAAAGCGTTGTCACGTCATTATTCAACTGCTCAGTTCACTCACACTTTAAAGCAAATTTATATTTAACACTGAAACACGCACATGCACTTCTTGGAAAAATAAATAAATAAATAATGGGATAGTTCACCTAAAAATGAAAATGTACTCCTTCAAGTTTACTCACTTATTAGAGGATGAGTAAATTTATTCACCCTCAAGTGGTTACAAACCTTTATGAGTTTCATTATTTTGTTGAACACTGAAGAAGAAATTTTGAAGAAAGTTGAAAACCTGAAACCATTGAAACATTCCATTTTTCCTCCTAGAAGGGCCAGCTTAGTATGACATTTATGGTACGTGGCTCCAAAAAGTCTGAGAGTAAAATGACTCTGTGACATCTTATCTACCAAGATGCTGGCCAGAGCCAGTCTGTCCTGGTCTTCAAAGAAATGCTAGAGGGAAACACCTTTTTTTTTTTCAACACACACAAAAACCTTCTTAACTATTGAAATAGACTCATAGAACCCCAAACTCACTCCTAAAATGTACATAATGTGTTTGTTTGCAAGCTATAGGTTCTGTCCGAAGTAGTTAAAATATTATATGTATGCATCAATAGACCACTTATGGTGTTAAATAATGCAGAAATCCTGCTTAATCTGTGTCTAAAGTGTCATGTATAGTATCGTTGTACTCCCTTTAATTTCACAATACTGCAAAATGCATGATAATAACTTATACAGCTTACATTTTTTTATATTTTGGGAACTTTATCCGTCCCTTCAAGATGAATTCTCATTATGCATATGAGCGGCCCAGAGACAATGAAAGTTTCCCGCGCGATATTTCCTCTCACGCCATTGGTAAGTCCATAGAAAATAGGTGTGACCAAATCAACACTTTCAATATTGATCCTTGCAAGCACTCTGGGCAGAAGGTCTCTGGTTTGTGAAGAGCAGCCTTTTCCTTAGATTGGACACTTAAATTGGTGGCAAAATTTAAACCTTTTCTTTCTAAAAAAAAAGATCTAGAAACTGTAACCCATGCTTTAATTTCCTCTCGGTTAGACTACTGCAACTCCTCAAACATTGGTCTACCCCAGTCAACACTCTCTCAGTTATAGTTGGTTCAGAATGTAGAAAAGATATCATTTCTCCCCTATCCTTGCCTCATTGCACTGGCTTCCTATAAAATTCAGAGTTGATTTTAAAATCCTTCTTTTCACATATAAAGCATTGCACATTTCTGTTTCGGTCTATGTCAATGAACTTATTAGGCCATATACAGCTTGTAAACCGTTAAGGTCCCATGATTAGTTTCTTTTGTCTGTCCCTCGCCCTCGCTGCAAATCAAAAGGTGATCAAGTTCCCTTTGAACATCATGATTTCTCCATCATCGAATGTTTATAAATCTAACTTAAAGACTTATTTTTACTCCCTTGCCTTTGAGTGATGCATACATGTTATTTCTTATCTGTATTTTAGTATTACATATAAACATGTATATTTAATATTCTTATGTTTTTAATACAAGTTTTATTATATTTTATTTTATACATTATTTATTTTTATTGTAAAGCACAAATGATCAACTATAAGGTTGTGTAAAATGGTGCTCTATAAATAAAGTTTGCCTTGCCTTGCCTAATTTCGTTACACCACTGACTTCCAAAGTAACCACTGACTTCCATAGACTTTTATATAAAAACAAATACTATGAAAGTTAATGGTTACAAGTTTCCAGCCTTCTTCAAAATACCTTCTTTAGTGTTTAACAGAAAAAAGAAGGGTTTTGAACCACTTGAGGGTGAGTAAATGATGACAGAATTACACTTTTTGGGTAAACTATCCCTTTAATCGATGCATTTGTGATAAGAAACTCTTTCGTACTGTTCTTTCGCTCTATAAATAGGACAGTCTTTAAACACAAACACAGCAAGCATATGCACAAACAAACAGAATCTCTGCTTTCCCTCTCTCTTTTCCCCCTCTCTGTTTAAAGGTCCAGAGGAAAGGCTTCATTTTGAAGTGACTTTTTCACTGGGAGCCAATTAGCTGGGGCTATTTTGAGGATGAATGGTGGATGAATATATGAGTTGAGCTCAGCTGTGAAAACTGAATCCTCCTAAATGCGCAGGCCTGGTTTCTCTTTCTCTCTCTCTCTCTCTCTCTCTGCCTGCTGCTTCTCTTCATCCTCTGACAATCTTCCTCTCCGCTTCTCTTCTCTCTGTCAGACTCTTCGCACGGCCATCATTGTCTATCCTTCCTCACGGCCTACGCGCACACAAGCCCTGCGCCTCTACCTAAGTTTACAACCATTTTATAGAGCAGCTCATGGGAAAAAAGGGGAAAAAATGTCATGAAAAGTAGTTGTGTTCCTGAGGGAGACAGGAGAAAGAAAGATTGTAGTTCTGTTCCAAAGCCTACTGAAGTGCCTCAGTGTCTGCAGACTATAGCTGTCTTTTACGACAGCGTCCTAACAAGTGACTGATTTGGAGCGCTCTGTGTGTGACACACAAATACTGCTTCACACACTCAGTTCCTATTGATTTCAAAAGAGTGCATTAAAGCCTGTCCAGATTTTCAGCAGCGGTGCTTATGGAAGTTTTTTTATATTCATTTTTTTTCCATCATATGGGTTTGTATCTGTGTGAGGTTCAAATGTACAATGTTCACTTATGTAGTGCACATTGTTGAAGTGAATGGTCAATTAATTCATGCAAGTAAATCCACTAATGGTTGATTTGGTAATTCATTCAGTTTCCTTTGGCTTAGTCCTTTTATTCATCAGGTGTCACCACAGCGGAATGAACCTTCAACTTATTCAGCATATGTTCTACACAGCGGATACCCTTCCAGCTGCAAGCAAGTACTGGGAAACACCTGAAGGTAAGTAAATAATGTGTATTTATATAGCACTTTTACCATCCCCTTCACTATACTGGGGGATTAGGACTCACAAAGATCGCAGGTTGAGCGCCCCTACTGGTCTCACTCACATCAATTTTTAACAGCAACCTAGTTTTCCCATGTGGTCTCCCATCTCTCATCTCCCGTTTCCTATCAGCTCCTGCTTAGCTTTAGTAAGTAACTGCTCTTGGGCTGCTGGGTGATATGGCTGTGACATACACTCTCACATTCACACACATACACTATGGACAATTCAGCTCGCCCAATTCATTGTGCTTGGACTGTGGGGAAAACCGGAGAAACCCAAGCGAACATGGGGAGAACATGCAAACTCCACATAGAAATGCCAACTGACCCAACCGAGGCTCAAACCAGTGACCTTCTTGCTGTGAGGCGACATTATTACCTACTGCACCACCGCGTCACCCAAATCTGATTCATATACACCATTTAACTGAAACATTTAATTTTAGTCAGCTTTTAACAATACAACAAACAAACAAAAAGGTACCATTTAAATTTTAATTGACAACCTCAAAACCATCCCATTCATTCTCCCTGTCCTCTCAGATGGGGTGGTGAGCCATATTTAGGGTTACCATGGACCAACTTTGGCTCTCAGGCCCTAGTCTGTGCATCTCTGTCTTAAAATATAGAATAAAACAAATTTTAAAGAATGTGTAAATACAAAGTGCAGAGATTTATTTATTTATTTATTTATTTATTGTAGTATGTGTATGTGCTTCCGAATTAAAACTGAATATTAAGTAAGGGGCGGGGCTTTCTTTTTGCAGATCATTCAAACTAATGCTAAGAGAAGTGTGGTTAAGAAAATTATGGCTGAAGCCAACAAACTGACATCATCAGAGAACGACAACCTCTTCAAACATGGAAGCAAAATTAAAAAAAATTAAAAATAAAATAAAATAAATAAATCAGTGGATTAAATTGCATTAATTAACTATTCACCTAAAGAATAACAATGTGCACAAGCAAAATAAACATTGCACATGTGAATTTCTCACAGAACTTAACATTTTACTCCTTAAACCTACCTAATAGTCTAAATAAATAAATAAAGAAAAAAATTCCATAGCTGTACATTATCTCTCATTTCGTCATAATGATTTCATCACATTAGAATACATAGTGGGAATATGATGTCAAAGGAAAGTATGTTTGGAGGCCATCCCATAATGAAAGCCTCTGCCAGCCCATAATGAAAAGTGCTGTCTATGTAGATTCAAATTTTAAACAATCAAGTAAGGCAATGCAAGTTTATTTATATAGCACATTTCAAACACAATGGTAATTCAAAGTGTTTTAAATGTACATAAACAAGAATAAAAGAAACAAGGATAAAAACTGAAAACAACAAAGAATAAAAATTATTAAAGACAGAAAAAACTGAGTAAATGTGTTAAAATAGATTTTAAAAAATTAAAAAGAAAAGTAAGACATAATAGTGAACAGTGTTGGAGGTAACACATTAAAAATGCACGTTTTAATATGTAATAATATTACTTTTACAAAGTAATGAGTAAAGTAATGCATAACTTTTAAAAGTCATATATTTATTTATTTTTTTCAAATGTATTTACCTTGCTTAATTTTCTTCTACAAAAATATATTGCTGAATAAAAATGACCTAGTCAGGTTAAATCACACACTCAATGAGAGAGCATGCTGCGAGGGAACAGACAGTCGGCTCGCACTCATAATCATCATCAGGTCTCTTTTTTTCACAGCAGATGAATAACTCAGAATACTGGTTTACTTGGAGTCAGAAGGGGTATCCAGTATGTTAGTACTGAAGACGCAACTGTTTCACAACAACTCTGTTCAATTTAATGAACTGGTATGACCGGTTTACTTAGAAGATCCGGTTAAAAGCAAATTATTTATTTGCATTTTAAAGGTTTGAAATCTGTTTTTGCTTTAATATAAATTATTTCATTTTAGAACCTTTAGGCTTTATTGCAATCTTTATCTCAATGGACAATGAATTTACTTAACTAATAAACTAATATCACAAAATGTCCAAAAGTAGCAAACACATTACACATTACACATTACATGCTTTCATTAATCTGTATATACAGCATGTATAGCTCTGGGCTCAGAAAGTTATCAAAATATAATTTTATACTACATATTTTAAAGGAAAATGAAGGTGTAGGTTATATAGGTGGTTGTTAAATGCAGAGCTTCTCTATAAAAAAAGGTTAAAAAAACAACTGCAAGGTCTGAAATAGATCAAACCTCAGACAGGTAAGAAAAGATAAGGCAAAAGTAATGTAACCCATTACTTTCCATAAAAAAAATAAAAATAAAAAAAAACTAAGTAATGCAAGTACTTTTTTGGGGGGAGTAACTCAATATTGTAATGCACTACTTTCTAAAGTAACTTTTCCCAACACTGAAATACAGTACTCATTCAGTAAAGGAAGAGCTAAACAGATGTGTTTTAAGTCTTGATTTGAATGTGCCTAATGTTGGAGTAAATCTGCTCATTTCTGAAAGCTGATTCCAGCAACAAGGGGCATAGTAGCTGAAGGAGGATTCACCTTGCTTTGACTGAACTTCTAATTCACTTGATCCTAATGATCTGAGTGATCTGTTAGGTTTGTATTCAGTGAGCATATCTGTAATGTGTTGTTACAATACAAGCTCTTCCTTTCTATTGTGTTTTTAACACATATTTTCACCCTCACACTGTGCTATGCGAGTGTGAATAGCAGCGCAACACCATCACTTCACATCCTCTGCAAGTTTTAGCATTGAGTATTATGAATTAGAGAGTAAGAGAGAGAGGGAGGGAATTGATATTCTTTTTTCTTTAAAGCCTCTTCTTTTGAAAGTATGCAGGAGAGAGCAATAAAAGGCTCATCAGGAAAGCGAAAAGATGAGTGTGACGGGGAGAGCTGCTGTGATATTGGCTTACTCAGCCAAAAAATAAATGGCTTGCCATGCAAAAAAAAAAAAAAGTAAAAATGAAGAGGAGAGAGACAGATGGTGTACGGATGATACAGTAGAATAAAAGATGAACTGCAGTGATCATAGCAGAACATCAGGCATGAGAAGAAGGGCAATATGATGATCGGGCAAAAATAATGAAGGGGAAAAAAGAAATGACAGTGATGGGACAAAAACAAAATAATAATGCTAAATAGGTAAATGATTACATACAGCATGAGAAAGAAATGATTTACCTCTGGTTTGGGAGCAGTGATGGCTCCTGGACAAGTGAAAGTGACGAATTCATGGCAGCGTTTGTGCACCACAAAGCTGCAGACTATAAAAAAAAAAACAAAAACAAATGACATATTTAGTAAAGCAATTCTACCTTCTTATAAGTAATTCATTCATTTTATGGTTTATTATGGTTTATGAATGAATGTATTACTTCACCCAACATTTACAATTCTCTTATAAATTAGTCAGCCACATGCCATCCCAATCCCCTGGGACTTTTGTTCCTTTTCAGAACACAAATTAAGATCTTTTAGATCAAATCTGAAAGCTGTCTATTATCCTTATATACATAAACTCTTAAAACATTCAAAGTCCATAAAAAGAACCAAAAACATTGGGGAACACTTATTTGGAGAGGTGGTTAAACTGTAATTACGAGAAGATCCAATAACACACTTTTGTACATCTAAAAAAAAAAACAAAAACAAAAACAAAAACAAAAAAAACATTCAGCAGCAGGTTTCGGTACACGTTTACCACAGATAATATGATGCTTGCGTGTTGTGTTGCTGACAATAAAGCCAATATTGTATTTCTAATAGTCATTGGTGTAAAGCAGACCCTCTAGTTTTTATAGTTTTTTGGTTTTTTTTTTAAAACTAACTGAATGACTAACTAACTAACTGGTTAACTGACTAACTAACTAACTGGTTACCTGACTAACAAACTAACTGACTAACTGACTAACTAACTAAAAGGCTAACTGACTAACTAACTAACTGATTAACTAACTAACTAACTTAGTAACTAATTTGTTAACTAACTGACTAGCTAACAACTGACTAACTTACCAACTAACTAACTAACTAACTAAATGAATGACTGACTAACTAACTAACTAACTAACTAACTAACTAACTAACTAACTGACAAACCGACTAACTAACTAACTAACTAACTAACTAACTGAATGATTAACGAATGAACTGACTGACTGACTAACTGATTAGCTAACTGACTAACTTACTAACTAACTTAGTAACTGAATCATTGACTAACTGACTAGCTAACCAACTGATTAATTAACCAACTGACCAACTAACTAACTGATTGACTGACTAACTAACTGACAAACTGACTAATTGACTAACTGGCTAACTGACTTACTAACTGACTAACCTACTAACTGACTAACAGAATGACTGACTAACTAACTGAATGACTAACTAACTAACTAACTAACTAACTAACTAACTAACTAACTGGTTAACTGACTAACAAACAAGCTGACTAACTAACTGACTAACTGACTGACTAACTGATTAACTAACTGACTAACTAAATTACTAACTGATTCATTGACTAACTGACTAGCTAACCAACTGACTAACTAACCAACTAACTAACTGAATGACTGACTAACTAACTGACAAACTGACTAAGTGACTAACTAACTAACTAACTAACTAACTAACTAACCAACTAACCAACCAACCAACCAACCAACTAATAACTAACTAACTAACTAACTAACTAACTAACTAACTAACTAACTAACTAACTAACTAACTAACTAACTAACCAACCAACCAACCAACCAACCAACCAACCAACCAACCAACTAACTAACTAACTAACTAACTAACTGACGGACCAACTGACTAACTGACAAACTGACTGATTGACTAACAAACTAACTTTCAAGGTTACAGAAGTAACCCTTTGTTCCCCGAGGAGGGGAACGGAAGTGCTATAGAGTGGATTTTATTTGAAATCCACGAAATGGAAGGATTCGGATCAGAAGCCGCTTGTCTGGAGAGTATTGAACGGGCCAACGAATGAAATGAATTAGCAGCGTAAGCTTGCGCAGGTGTGCTGCATCGCCAATTATCCTAGCATATAAGCACACCTGGAGCGAACAAACGCCATCCTTTTAAGCTGAAGAGACTTTCAAACAGCTAAGGGACAGTCATTATGGCGACGGAGTATAGCACTTCTGTTCCCCTCCTCGGGGAACGAAGGGTTACTTCTGTAACCCAGAACGTTCCCCTTCGGTTGGGGAACTTCAGTGCTATAGAGTGGATTTGATTTGAAATCCACGAAATGGAAGAACTATGGAAAGCGCCATAATGACTGCACCTTACCAACGCCACCGATGAGGGGATAGTCAAGCAAGCGTGACGCACCCACATCATGGGAGGCGCGGTCCTCCAACGTGTCCCTGGCCCTAATTTATCCTACTTCAACAGAAGTCTTACGGATTTAGATATATTTTTTGGGAAGTCGTGAGCATCTAGATAATTCTAGGAAAATACGACAGTAAGGTGGGAAGCGTGCAATCCCAATAGGGAGGACGCTCCGGAGGCCATCCGTTACCCAAGGGGAGATAGATGGCAGAATTTACATATGGACTAGCCCTAAAAAGGGGGAGTACGCATAGCAAAAGAGTGGTTAGCGGAGAGGGAAGACACGGGTCCGCCCAGGGGGGGGGACTTAACCGTGGCGGAATAAGCATATGGGATCGCCTAGTGGGGATCACGCATAGCAGGCACCTATACCCAAAACGCGGGCTGACCAGCGGGCAGACCTACAACGTAGTGGGCCAGCAAGTGACTCCTCTGCTGAGTTAGTGCTGGGGGCCACGGAGGATTCTGCAGGGCTCACCTGACGGGGAACTTTACTGACAGATAAAAAGGCGCACGTATCTCCGTGTTAGGGAAATGGCGCAGCAAGCGTGTCTCAACACCCTACCGAGTTGTTTACTCAATCACCAAAGGGTTACCTAATACGGTTACCTAATACCCTTGAGGAAACCGGCTCCACTCGCAGATTGTAAAACCTTGCAAATGTGTTGGGTGTCGCCCAGCCCGTAGCTCTACAGATGTCTGTTAGAGAGGCGCCGCGTGCACGCACCCAAGAGGATGCAACGCTCCGAGTGGAGTGTGCACGCACTCCCGGGGGACACGGCTGACCTCGACTCGAATAAGCGAGTGAAATGGCATCCACAATCCAGTGGGATAATTTTTGTTTCGATACGGCACTTCCCTGCTGCCGACCGCCATAACAGACAAAGAGCTGCTCAGATGATCTAAAATTCTGAGTTCGGTCCACATAAATGCGCAGTAAAGAAAGGGCTGGGTCTGCCTCCTCCGGGGGCAGCGCTTGCAGGTTCACTACCTGATCTTTAAAGGGGGTGGTAGGAACCTTGGGCACATAACCCGGGCGGGGTCTCAGGACGATGTGAGAGTAATCCGGCCGAATTCCAGGTACGAGTCACTGACCGAAATTGCCTACAGGTCCCCGACCCTCTTGATGGAGGCCAACGCAACCAGCAGAGCTGTCTTCAGGGACAGAAATCTTAGAGATACTCATTCGAGTGGCTCAAAGAGATCGGCTCACAAACTTGTGAGAACGAGGGCGAGATCCCAAGAGGGCATGAGAGGAGGGCGAGATGGATTAATTCACCTAGCACCCCTAAGGAACCGGATGATGAGGTTATGCTTTCCCACGGTGCCGCCAGCTACCGCGTTATGATAAGCGGAGATGGCGGCCACGGAAACCTTGAGAGTGACAGTTCAGCAACAGGCGAGCGCGTTCCTCGGAGAGGTGCGCTTCCATGGTGATCGAGTCCAGCTCCATCCCGAGAAAAGAGATCCTCTGCACGGGGGCGAGTTTGCTCTTTTCTCGGTTGACCTGAAGCCTTGTAGGCGGAGATGCCGAAGCACCTTGTCCCTGTGCACAATCAACTGCTCCCGCGAGTGGGCTAAAATCAGCCAGTCGTTGAGATAATTGAGTATGCGGATGCCCGCGAGCCGAAGGGGCGCTAAGGCACCCTCAGCGAGTTTGGTGAAGACCCGCGGAGACAGAGAGAGCCCGAAGGGGAGGACCTTGTACTGCCACGCTCGACCCTCGAACGCAAACCGCAGAAATTGGCGGTGGCGTGGAAGAATGGAGACATGGAAATACGCGTCCTTCAGGTCTACGGCTGCAAACCAATCCCAAAGGACGAACGCATTGGAGAATGCGCCTCTGCGTGAGCAGTCTGATCGGCAGCTTGTGCAGACAGCGGTTCAAAACGTGCAGATCTAGGATTGGTCGTGACCCACCGCTCTTTTTTGGTACGATGAAGTATGGGCTGTAAAACCCACTCTCCATCTCGGCTGAAGGAACTGGCTCGATTGCACCCTTCGCCAGGAGGGCAGCAATCTCCTCTCGCAAGACAGGGGCGGACAGGAGGTTGACCCTGGAGAAATACACGCCCGTGAACTTGGGGGGGCCGTTTTGCGAACTAAATTGCGTAACCGAGTCTGATTGTTCGTATGAGCCACCGCGAGGGGCTGGCCCGCGCTTACCAGGCAGGCAGAGCCCTCGCTAATGGAGTCATCGCTACAATCGCTGACGTACCAGCGGTGGGGCAGCGCGGAGTGGGTGTACTGATCCAGGAAGCACGAGGGTCCCGCGGAAGAGCTGGAGGAGAGCGATTCACTCTGGCCCTGCACCCTGACTCCGGAGAGGGGGCTGGAGGGCTGAGGGAAGGGAGACCGTCCCCCCAGCGCTCGTGAGGCACTGGCGAAGCACGTAAAATCTGCGAGCCGGAAGGCAGCGCGTCCCGTACTTGAAGAATTCGTGCTGTCACATTCGGGGAAGGGGAAAAGTGCTCTTTGATTGATGTTTTGGTGGCACTGAAAAGTACCGTTGTAATCGGGGCCCCGCCCTCCAGCGGGGAAAGAGCAAGTTTCCTCTTCTCCGGATGGAGATTCCTGGGTGAATTCACCGACGGTGTCGCCGAACAGGCCAGCCTGGGATATGGGCGAGTCAAGAAAGCGAACTTTGTCAACATCGTGCATATCGGCCAGGTTTAGCCAGAGGTGGCGTTCCTGAACCACAAGTGTGGACATCGTCCTCCCCAGCGCACACGTGGCGGACTTAGTAGTCCGAAGAGCATAGTCGGTCGCGGTGCGCAGCTCATGTAATAAGCCTGGGTTTGACCCGCCTTTGTGCAGCTCGGCCAGCGCCTGCGCTTGGTAGCTCTGGTAGGTGGCCATCGCGTGCAAAGCAGAAGCAGCCTGGCCCGCAGCCTTATAAGCTCTGGCTCCGGGG